CCTAGAACGCTCCAACTTGGCAGCAAGCGCATCAACGATTTCTCCTTCTTCCTTGCTGTGGCAGAGAAGTTTAGAACAGGTTTTGGGTGGTATTTATGGTGTAGAATGGATGGGGAATGTTATGGAAAGGTTTAGGGTTGATGGGTGGTGCGGCAAGGGATGATTTCTGGCTGGAATTAAAGAGAATGGTGGTGGAAAGTTGCGGTAGAGAGTAAGGCAGATTTCTGGCGTGAATTGTGAATTATGAGAGGTGGTGGTGTGCGGCAAAGGTGTGGAGATATATATATAAGCACCAAAAACCCTAGCAAATCAGATTAGGGCTTCTAGAAAACCAAATCCATCAGAAAATAGGTTAAAACAATCAGATTTTGAATGGGAAAAGGCCTAGGGTGCGCGACTGGATGGATAGGGTAAAGGATTGGCTTTCTAGAAAGCCCAACACCAAGAAGAAATAGGCCCTAACCCACGGCAAGGATGAGAAATTATTCTAGAACCTTTCTTTGTGTCTTCCAACGCTTAGGAACCTTCTAATGTTGCTAAAACTCAAGGCCATTTAGGTTTAGGAAAGATCAACCCAAAGTGGAAACTTTTAGGCTTAGCTTTCCTACTTCAAGTAGGAAACCTCGTTTGAGTAGGAATCTTCATTCTTCTAGGAATCCATCTTCAACTAGGAATCCCTCGTTGATTAGGAATCCTTCTTCAATTAGGACTCCTCCTTGGACTAGGAATCCCTCTTGGACTAGGAATCCTCAAATCTTCAAATCTTCAATTTCATCCAAACCTTGTGTTCCAAGCATGTACTTTCCAATCCACGCTCACTTTTGCTCCAAAAGCTCCAAATTGCATCATTTAAGGTAATATGCCCTTTAAACCTGAAAACACATGAAAGTAGCTTAAACGTCTATTTTAACTTAGAAAACATAACAAAAATGCATAAGAACTAGCTAACTAAGGCGCATAAATATGCTCCTATCGCCTAGCATTAGATTTAAGCATGTAAACTAAGTAGGCCTCCTTAATCAACATACAAGAATAGGTTTTGAATAAAACAGTTAAGCAAATTGCATTCACACTTTATCAAATCACAACTGGAATTAGTCAATTCATACTGCAAATATAATCATGGTTTCGAAATTCCCCCTAGCTATAAGGGGTTTAGCTCCTCATGTTCACAAAACAAAGATAAACAAACTTAAACATTGAAATCAAAAGATAGATTACACCTGAGAATGATTTTGCAATCCAAACTTGAATAGCAAGCACTCCAAGGGTCCTCATTCTTCTCTTTGTTGCGGCACAAGGGTGTAGAATGGTGTAGGTTGCGGCAAAGATGGTTTCTGAGTTATATGGGGGGTGGTAAACGAATTTGACTGAAAATACATATATATAGGCACGGTACAAACCCTAGGGTAATCAGTTTAGGTTTAGAACTTAGCAGAAATCAAGGATTAAGGCCTAAAGGTGCGGCACAAAGGTTTAAATCGACCAGGAAAAAGGTTTGGCCCAATTAATTTCTGAAAAGGATTTTCATAACCCAAGTCCACAAGGAATAAGGCTAACAAAATCAGAATCCAAGGGGAATTGGGTGAGGAAAGGCACAGCAAGAATTGGAGGGAAAAGGAGAGGAGTGCAAGGCAAGGCAAGGCAAAAGCCTTCTAGAAAGGAATATGCGCCACTTTTGTAGATTTCTAGAAGCAATGTGTTTTGTAGCAAAAATTAAAACTTCTATAAGGGAATGCTTCTAGAAATAGATATCTAGGCCCCCTTGCAGCTAGATTTAAGGTATGATGAGATTAGGATAGGATAAGATATGGTTAGTTTGGATAAGATAAGGTTAGATAAGGTTTTGGATAATGTTCCTTCTTTTGAGTTGATTCCTTATCTTCTTTGTCTTAAATTTAATTTCTTCATGTCCTTATCAGATTCCTAGCCTTTTTAGCTTCAAAAACGTCCATCCAAAGTGCTCCCCACATATGCTATCCATTTGGTGCCCAAAAGTGCTCTAAAATGCTTCAAAATACACTTTCTTGCCACTGATAGGGATTTTTACTACTCATGTGAATGCGATAAAAACCTTCTATTTTACTTGCAAGAATCACAAGGTTATTGTAGTATAAACGGATCTCGCAAGGTCATTCTCCACAGGGATTATTAAATAAACCGAAACAAACCAGATTTTAATTAATGATTGTAAAGTAGAAATTTGGATGATTGATTTTATAACCTACTTAAAGTAAAAACGAATTTAATGAATTAAAATAGATAATCTGCAATATTAAAGCTAGAGAGAAGAAAAACAGTTATGAGAAAATCAAATTAAGAAGGCACTAGGGTTCCACCATCACCTAGCAATCCTATGAATTTTTACCCATTACTTATGATCTACACATGCCACTTTGAAGGTTAGATTTTCCTAATTCATATTCTACTTGGAACCTCCAATATAGAACGTATATCTAACATGCAACCCGTCCGGACGTTCGGATCAAATCTAAACATGAAAGACTCATTATGCTTTATGAAAATCCTTTGAAAAACCATGCAATCCTTAAGACGTGATATTCATCCTAAAAGAAGTTACAATTATTAATCACAAGAAGCCAGCGTCAATTTCAGGGAACCTTCCGACCAAAATTGCATCAAATTACTTTTCTAAAAATCCTAATGGTGATCAGGCATTAAAACAATTAGATAGTTTTTTATCCCAGTGATTAACAATTCAAAGTACGCATGCAATCAATCATAAGCAATTAAATAAAAATCACATATTCATGCTAAGGCTCAAGGCTTCACCCTAGCAATAGAAATTAGTTCCGCATATTCATAATTGAAATCATAGAAACATCTCTTAAGAAAAGGATTGAAAACACCTTCAAGTAGAAAATCTTCAAAACCCTAGCACTTCTCTCTGTCTCCAATATTGCATAAAATAAAGCGTACCCTAAAACTGTAGACGGCCAAGCAATATATTTGCCAAGCCACCCCAAACCCTAGCAAACTAAAATTCATAAAAACCCTAAATAAAAATAGTAAAATTCGTCCAAAATCTGAACAGCCACGTTTTGGCCCAAAAGCTGCCCCAAAACTGGCCCAATATAGCTGGATTTAATGTTTGGAATATTCTGAACACTTTTCCAGAAGGCCACGAACCCATCCGAGGTCATCTTTGGGCTCCAAAAAACGCAATTTAAGCCCAAAAACGTCATTTTCCAGCACTGCGCACTGCTTCTTTATTTCATCGCCAGAAAATAACCGCTTGGTGGAAAAATCCCAAATTTTGATACGATCAAGCTAAGTGACTCACGAACGTCCTCCAATTGGAATTACTCCAAAATTCGTCCATTTGGTCCTATTTTGCTCCAGAGGAAGTCAAAAGTCCTATATTGAAAATATAATTCAAAGTATCAAAATTCTTCCAATATATTAACCAAAATATACTAAGATTAGGGTAAAAATATATAAATATAAAATCTACTCATCAAATACCCCCAAACTTAGCTTTTTGCTTGTCCTCAAGCAAAACAAGACTCAAACAAAAAATAAAAACTTAACAAACTAGACAACTAGCTAAAATTAACTGACAAAAATTTTCATCTTCAAAGTTGCAATCCATAGCAAATTTTAAAAACTAGAACATTTTTTCAGAAGTTCCAACCAATCACACCACAGAGTCTAAGCCATTTAGAATCAATTAGAAAAGAATTCACAAACTTCCTTTGGTGTAAAGTGAACCAACATAATTAAGGGGACTCGACTAAAACCCTTACCTCTCGTCCTTATTTATTTCACACATACTAACTTTAAATATAACTCTCTTTCTTTTTTTTTTTTTTTTTTTTTTTTTTTTTTCAATTTTTTTTTTTTTTTTTCTCTTTTTTTTTTTTCATGTATATAACATTTTTTTTTTTCAGTAACAGTAGTGGTCGTGCAATGTCGGTTCACTTAAGCTTTCAATCCAACTCATGTAGCGAGCTTTAGGTCAATGACTCCCAAACCACTAGGGCTTTAGGGCACTAGGTGTAGAACACCCCTAAGGACTTATTAACCCGAGCTGAAAAGGCTACGAAACCAACTAACCACCCTGCCCCATGCCAAAACTCTACCGTTTGACGCGAGAATCACTGCTGATTAGGCAGGACTGGCCCGGTTACTAGGCAAAACCTCGGGGGAGACAATTATTACTTTATTCACAATAATAACTGACTTTACTTAAAACAAAAATTAAAAATAAACTTAGACTAAAAGCAAGTGTTTCAATCTCACTCCCCACAAACCATGTTGATGTGATGTGCAAAGTTCAAAGTATAATTCATGAATTAGTGTCTAAGCAACGATAAATAGAAAAGACTCTAATGTGGGATTAATCTTTACCATGTCCATTTGTTCTAACGTTTAAAATAATCTATGGATATTAACTTAACAAGAATGAAAATTTTTAAACGACCCAAAAATAAAAAAACTAAAACTTACTTTCCCACCCCCAAACTTATTTCACACTTTGTCCTCAAGGTGTGGAAAAAAAAATAAAAAAAATGACAAAAATAAAATAAACTTAAACTAACAAATAATAATTATAACAAGGAAAAGTAGTAACAAGAACCAAAGAAAAGAAAAAGAAAAACTACCTGGCGTCTTTGGAAAACATCACAGCATGCATGTGATAAAGAGTAGGCATGGGAATGCTGGCACACGGATGTGATGTGTGAGTGATAAATGAATGGCCAAATACAAGCCACGCCTAGCCGTGGAATTAGCGTGAGAATGGCATGCAGATGTGGTTTAAAAAATATTTTGTCAGTCAGGGCACCCACATAAAAAACTGCACCAGTCCATTGGATTCCCTTCTGCCGTCGAGTACCGAGCCAAACGGCTCCTTTCATGCCTTTCTTTATTTTTTATTTTTTTCAAACCAATCCGTGTTGAGAAATAAAATAATAATGCCGCATCCCCAAGTCCCCATGTCTAGTACCCCGAAAACCTTCAACATCTCTCTCTCTTTAATAGCAGAAAACAGTATCAGATCTCAAAAACTCAAAAGCCTTCTCTCCATTTTCCTCTGACCCCATTTTTCTCCGCTCTCTCTCTCTCTTCTTCATTGCTCCAGAAAATGCAAAAACCTTCTCCCTTCCATTTAGTTTCTTTTTCGCATTTCTCTCGGATCCCATGTATGGTGGAGCAACACAGGCATGTCTGATTCCTCTATAATAGTGCTCTGGTCCGCAACACCGAGACCCAAACGAACAGATCTAAAACAGTTCGTCCAAAAATCCTCCCTTTGCAGGTAAAAATAAAGCCATGCCATGTCTCCTTTTTGTTCGTTCAAATGTAAAGATGTAGCTTCATTTCTGCAAACTTCATCACCAAGAGTAAAATGAAAATGTTTTTGACTGATGCATTTGATTGTTCTATGTATGTCTCAGTTTCTCACAGATTGATGCATCCGTAGCCTTCCATAACCCAACAACGCGCACCTCCGTGAGTACCCCGCCGTGGTGGAAAATCGGAAAAACGGAAACCCAAAGGTAAAATCACCCTCCAATCTTGGGGTTTCATTGTCCAATTAATTTGTTGGAGAGATCTGGAACAAACACTAACACCTGCATGTGGTTTATCAGTGGGAAGAGCCCTAATGGTTTCAAATCCGAGACAACAACACAAGAACAAAACGCTGAATCGCCGTCTCAACTCAAAATCATGTCTCCCAAGCCTCAAGCCATCAGAAATTTTAGTACCATTTTGCACATGCCACGGTAATCACCCTTACCTAGTTCAAGATCCATGTCTCTTAGCTTGCGAAATTTTTTTTTTTTGCAAGTTATATTTGTGTGATGAGTCGCCGTCGAAGCTTACACAGATTTTTTTTTTTTTCCGTAGTAGGTGTCCGAGATGCACAAAGAGACAGAAGAGACAAAGTCGAAAAGCTTCCAAACTCACGGATCTGCAAATGTTGAGGTAAAACCCGTAACCCTTTTTATTGATGGACTATGATCTGATACTTGAAATGGACTATGATCTGATACTTGAAAAATAACCCCTACTGTGACTGAAAAATAACACTCAAATCCAGCATACACCCGTGAGAAAACAAGCTTAAGCTGCCGGTCTAATAGTCCCAGAAAGCAAAATCAACAGCAACTGTCGCGGCCTCTGTATGTCATCAAGGTAAAGATCTCGATCGTCTGCTTTTGCTAAGCTCAACATTTACAAGTTCAACAACAGTTCATTAGAATGCCATATGTAACCTGTATGTACTCATATTGTTGGTCTTTATGTAGGGTATACGGATCCATGATAGAGCCAAGGAGACAGAAGTAAACACACAAGAGCAACGGAGGAAAACAGCACAGGCCGCATGACCCAGATCGATGCATCTGGGAGGTAAAATTCGAATCCCTGTAAGTGTAATTGTTGTAGATCTGGTAATAATATCTGTACTCAGTTCTGTGGTGTATGGATCTGTGATTTAATTGTGCTTCCTCCATGCATCGCAAAACTGAGCTGCAGAAATTAACTGCTCTAAATTCTGTTTGTGCTGGATCTGCAACAATCACTCCCAAACTTGCATCTGTGAATGGCTTTTTATGTTGACTGCTTTAAATTTCCCAGCATAGTGTAGATGTGGTTGATGTGATCGTTAGACTTGCTGCTGGGTGCAGGATTCCAGCATAGGACGCGCTTTATTTTACACGTTCGCAACCTGCAATTAACCAATATGCGTCAAAAAATTAAAATAAAATCAAATAAACTGGGTAAATAAAATCAATATGCAATCTTCCATTTTTTCCAAATTTTTTTATTTTTTTATTTTTTTATTTTTTTTTATGTATGTTTTTTTTTTAATATATAAATATATATATTTTTATCTTAAAGAGAAAATCAAACGAAAATTAAAATTAGGAAAGAGTTTAGAAAAATTGGGTTGCCTCCCAATTAGCGCTTTATTTTAAGTCTGTAGCTAGACGTTGCGGAAGTCCGATGGCTAGATCACTGGTGCCTTCAGAGTCAAAGACTTGCCTACACCAAATTTCTCTATGCATGGTTTTAGTTGATGTTTGGTCACCTTCAATGAGAAATCTGTGTCCTTAGCCTTAATGTCCACACTACCATTCTGAAAAACTTTAGTAACTAGAAAAGGGCCTCTCCATCGAGACTCTTGTTTCCCTGGAAATAACTTGAAATCTGAACTTAACCACACTTTTTTACCAGGCTGTATTTTCTTAAAATTCGGGCTGCTTGGAAAATTTTCATATTTTTTCTTAGTGTTAATTGGCTGGTCTTCATGTATCACCCTTTGCTGCTGTGGTTTAGGACTTGAACAATCACGAGTTAAATTCGGGGGCTTTATGGATAGATGGTCAGTTGATGATCTATTCATAAACTTGGCACTTGGTAAACCATCCAATGCATCAACACGCATGCATTCTTGCTTGTCATCTGAATGTATGCTTGCTTCAAACAACTTGAAAACAACAGTTTGATCTTCAACCCGGAATGTTAATGTTCCGGCTTCAACGTCAATAAGAGTCCGGGCTGTTGCCAGAAATGGGCGGCCCAAAATAATGGGCGTTGTCAAATCCTCATCCATGTCCAACACCATAAAATCAGCCGGTAAATATAAATTGTCAACCTTCACAATAACATCTTCAATGACTCCTCTAGGGTAGGTAATTGAACGGTCAGCCAATTGAATAATACTGGAGGTTGGCTTCAGCTCCCCTTCACCTAGACGTTTGAAAACAGAATATGGCATTAAGTTTACACTAGCACCTAAATCAATTAAAGCACTACTAAAATCACAATTTCCAATGGTGCAAGAGATAGTAAAACTCCCTGGATCTTTTTTCTTTGGAGGCAATTTATGTAATAAGACCGCACTGCATTGTTCTGTAAGAATTACTTTCTTAAAATCAACAAGCTTCTTTTTCTTTGTGCAAACATCCTTCAAAACTTGGCATAAGACGGAATGTTCTTGATGGCATCAATTAACGGCAGATTAATCTGAACCTTAGACAAAGTCTTCATAAAATCTGTTAACTGTTGATCTTTAGCTTTAGGTCTCAACCTTTCTGGATATGGCATAGGGGGCTCGTAAACACGTTCTGCAGTCTTTGTGGAAGCTTCTGCAGTATTTTCGGATCTGTCCTGGGACTTCCCAGAATCTGCAGAAATTTCAGAATCTGCAAAAATTGCAGATTTAGTTTGGGGTTGTTCTGCTGCCTGCGAATTCCCAACAGAATTTTCATGGCTGTTGTTGTAACTTTTGCCAGACCGTAGAGTCCGTATAGCATTGCATTCTTCTCGTCTTCTTGGATTAGGTACTGTTTGACTAGGAAATGAACCTGGTGCCCTTTCTGAAACCTGCAAAGCAATTTGCCCAATTTGTTTTTCCATATTTTTCATTGATTCATGCAGATTTTGGATTTCTTGACTGGTAGTATTTGCTAATTTTTCAATTGCAACTTCCCAAGCAGCCTTAGGTGCAGCATGTTGTGGTACCTGCTGTTGAAATTGAGGCCTAGTGTGTTGATCTTTGTCCCACTTTAAATTCGGATGATCTCTCCAACCTGGGTTGTAGAAATTTGAATACGGGTCATATCTGGGACTTTGAAAATTATTGAATGAATTAACCTGCTCCGCCATAAACTCCGGATAAGCATCTTTATGTGGACAGCTCAAAAAATCATGATTTGTCAAGCTGCAAATGCTGCAGGCAGATTGTAAGGGCTGCTGTACAGCAACTTGAGAACCTGGCATTCTTTGTAATAACATGTCAAATTTTGCGTCAATCCTTTTCTCCATTTTTTCAATTTGTGCTGTAACATACGGAGAACCGTTAGACATCTCAAAAACAGACCTAGATTGTGGCTGCTCAACTGCCCACTGTTGTGTATCTGCTGCCATTTTTTCAAATAACAAACAAGCCTCTTGTGCATTTTTATCCTTGTACGAACCTCCGCAAGATGCGTTGACAAGAGTTTTTGTAGTCATATTCAACCCTCTGAAAAATATATGCATTTGATCAGTAGTGTTAATACCCGAATGCGGACATTTTCTAGTCAACTCTTTGAACCGCTCCCATGCCTCATGAAACTCCTCATTTGGTTTTTGGGCAAAAGATAAAATCTGAGTTCTCATGTCAGGGGTCTTAGAAGCCGGATAATACTTGTTTAAAAATTTTTCACTAAGTTGGGCCCAAGTTGTAATGCTTCCAGATGGGAGTGTGAGGAGCCATCTCCTGGCCTGATCTTTCAGAGTGTATGGAAATAAACGCAGCTTAATAGATTCGGATGAAAAACCCCTCACCAAAATGTTTTTGCACCCCATTAAAAATTCTGCAATGTGCATGTTAGGATCATCAGATGATATCCCATGAAAAGTAGGTAGAATATTCAACATGTGCTGTTTTATTTCAAATGCAATCCCTTCTTCCACTGCCGGATATGTAATGCAACTGGGTATATTTGTTGTATGGGCAGTCAGTGAATCACCCAGGGGCAGACCTGTCTCTGGAATTACGAACGCCATTTTGTCTTTGTTGTGCAGGTCCCCAGTAGATACTGTGTCCAGAAATGTTTCCTGCAGTGGACGAACCCGCTGCAAATTTTGCTCTCTGCGCCTCCTCCTTAAATTCTGCTCAAGTTCTGGATCAAGTGGAATCAATTTCTGCACTGTTGAACGGGTGCTGACCATGCACAGATTTCAGAAATCTGCACTGTTGTACTGTTGTAATCTGTAAAAAAAAAAAAAACCGAAAATTTAATTTTTTTTTTTTTTTTTTTAATATGTATAAACAGCAATAACTAATTGAAAATCTGATTCGTAGGGATTATTTTAAATAATCCCCGGCAATGGCGCCATTTTCTTGATAGGGATTTTTACTACTCATGTGAATGCGATAAAAACCTTCTATTTTACTTGCAAGAATCACAAGGTTATTGTAGTATAAACGGATCTCGCAAGGTCATTCTCCACAGGGATTATTAAATAAACCGAAACAAACCAGATTTTAATTAATGATTGTAAAGTAGAAATTTGGATGATTGATTTTATAACCTACTTAAAGTAAAAACGAATTTAATGAATTAAAATAGATAATCTGCAATATTAAAGCTAGAGAGAGAAGAAAACAGTTATGAGAAAATCAAATTAAGAAGGCACTAGGGTTCCACCATCACTTAGCAATCCTATGAATTTTTACCCATTACTTATGATCTACACATGCCACTTTGAAGGTTAGATTTTCCTAATTCATATTCTACTTGGAACCTCCAATATAGAACGTATATCTAACATGCAACCCGTCCGGACGTTCGGATCAAATCTAAACATGAAAGACTCATTATGCTTTATGAAAATCCTTTGAAAAACCATGCAATCCTTAAGACGTGATATTCATCCTAAAAGAAGTTACAATTATTAATCACAAGAAGCCAGCGTCAATTTCAGGAAACCTTCCGACCAAAATTGCATCAAATTACTTTTCTAAAAATCCTAATGGTGATCAGGCATTAAAACAATTAGATAGTTTTTATCCCAGTGATTAACAATTCAAAGTACGCATGCAATCAATCATAAGCAATTAAATAAAAATCACATATTCATGCTAAGGCTCAAGGCTTCACCCTAGCAATAGAAATTAGTTCCGCATATTCATAATTGAAATCATAGAAACATCTCTTAAGAAAAGGATTGAAAACACCTTCAAGTAGAAAATCTTCAAAACCCTAGCACTTCTCTCTGTCTCCAATATTGCATAAAATAAAGCGTACCCTAAAACTGTAGACGGCCAAGCAAATATATTTGCCAAGCCACCCCAAACCCTAGCAAACTAAAATTCATAAAAACCCTAAATAAAAATAGTAAAATTCGTCCAAAATCTGAACAGCCACGTTTTGGCCCAAAAGCTGCCCCAAAACTGGCCCAATATAGCTGGATTTAATGTTTGGAATATTCTGAACACTTTTCCAGAAGGCCACGAACCCATCCGAGGTCATCTTGGGCTCCAAAAACGCAATTTAAGCCCAAAAACGTCATTTTCCAGCACTGCGCACTGCTTCTTTATTTCATCGCCAGAAAATAACCGCTTGGTGGAAAAATCCCAAATTTTGATACGATCAAGCTAAGTGACTCACGAACGTCCTCCAAATGGAATTACTCCAAAATTCGTCCATTTGGTCCTATTTTTCTCCAGAGGAAGTCAAAAGTCCTATATTGAAAATATAATTCAAAGTATCAAAATTCTTCCAATATATTAACCAAAATATACTAAGATTAGGGTAAAATATATAATATAAAATCTACTCATCAGCCACCTTTGCCAATTAGACCTACAAACACACAAAAATAGCTTAAAACACTAAAATAAGTAAGAACTAACAACATAAATGCAAGAAAACAAGCTAACTAAGTTGCATAAATATGCTCCTATCAATGACTAGGCAATCAGTTGATTAAATAAGTTGCAGTAAGTATGGCTTGTGACCAAAATTTCTTTGGTACGTTCATATGCAACTTCAATGCAAGAGTCTTCTCAAGTAAACCCCTATTCTTCATTTCAGAGATCCCATTTTGTTGTGGGGTTCCCACACAACTTGTGTGTGATGCGTAAAATTACTTGACACACACAAATTAAACCCTCTTTTTGACAATTGTAGCAGAGTATGTAAGTAGGGATCGTTCTAAACCGGGGATTAGGAGGGCTTGCTAAAACCTCTAAACTGACTCAAAAACAAAAAGAAACAAAGTTAAAAATGTAAACAAAAGATTTTAAAACAAGAAAGTAAAAGGGGGATTTGAGTTTGGTGAAGTTGAAAGTAAAAACGAATAAACTAAAAAACTTAAATAGATTTTAAAACAAATTTGGGTTGAATGGATAATGGAAGGCTAGCTAAGGGGTTCTTCTCCACACATGTCTTGCTTGCATACAAAATGATTTCCAATTGCATTTCAATAACTTATTAATTCTCAACGCCCCAAATTAACCGTGAATTGCATTAATTAACTCTCAGTTTTTCAACAAGTTATTAGATTGGATGATTGCATACGACAACCCAAAACATTCCCTACAAGTTCCCTACATGAATTGCATAATAGAGATACAAGCAAGAATCATTAAGTTCTATGAAAAACATAAGCATTGATGAGGCACTCGTTACTATGATTTGCATGAAACTTATGCCAAGAATTTACTTAACGTGATTGTGACTAGCAACCTTCACTACTTGTGAATATAAGTTCATAACGATTAGGTGAAACTCCCTTATATTCTAGCATCAAATTCATGCATGCATGAAAATTAAGCGTGCACTCTCAACCAACATACACAAATTAGTTTTTATACGAACGGATAAGTAAATTGAATTCACAATTCAAGAAACGCAATTGGAAGTAATCAAATCATATAGCAAGCATAAACATGGTTTTGAATCCCCCCTAGCCAAGGGGGGTTTAGTTCCTCATTATTACAAAACAAAGATAAACAAATTTAACCATTGAAAAACAAAGGGAAGAAAGCACCTAAACGTTCCAACGATCCATGTTGGATAGCAAGCGCGTCCAAGGACTTTTCTCCTTCTCCTTGCCGCCACAACAAGGTTGGAATGATGTTGAAGGGTTGGTTATTTGGAGGAATGGATGGGAAGGGGTTTAGATATGTAGGAGAGGCAAGGAAAGGCTTGGAGAATGGTTAATTTCTGGATGATTTGAATGAGGTTGCTGCCATGATATTTATAGGAAGAGGATGGACATGTTTAATGCAAAAATCTGGTGGAATGAAGTAGGTAAGGCATGGCAAGGTGGAGAATTGTTGGTGAGGGTAGGTTTTGAGTCATCCACTCACATGTCATGGTGAGTTAAGCATTGCATCATCCACTCAAATGTCATGGTGAGTTAAGCATTACATCATCCACTCAAATGTCATAGTGAGATAGGCATTGCATCATCACTAAAAAAATCTGGTGGAAGTAAAACAAAGGGAAGGCCACGGCATTGATGAATTTTATGGGGTATGCATGGTTTTGAGTGAAGTTTTGGCCAATCCTTCTAGAAATTTATCCCTTCTTGCAACTTATATTTGTTTCACCAGATTTTTAGCATGTTCCTAGCCTCTTTTGTCTTCAAATTCGTCCATCCATCTTGCTCATATCATATGTAATCCATTACAAGCTCAAAACTGCTCCAAAATGCACCAAAATGCACTTTCTTGCTACCTTAGCCCTTTGGACCTACAAACACACGAAAATGGCTTAAAGTACTAAAATAACTAAGAACTAATAACGTAAATGCAAGAAAACTAGTTAACTAAGTCGCATAAATATGCGTCTATCAAATTCCCCCACACTTAGCTATTGCTAGTCCTCGAGCAAAATAAAACAAATAAAACATAACCTAACCTTCCAACATTTGCCTTAGGGATTTCCAATGCACATGACATGTTAAAGATTATCATTCCCACAGAATTGAGTCAATTTAACACTTAAGCACATACTTAATCATAGTCACTACTTACTAATTCACAATTAACCAATTAAAACAATGTTTTGAATGTAGTAACATGCCTTAGAGAATTCCCTCAATCTTTACAAGATACGCACTTTATTTTCACTCAGATTTTCTAACTACACACCCTATACTAGTTATATGTGAGAGAATTGATGTAGATATAGAAACGAATGCTCACATATATGTATAACAAAGAACACAATTTCTAGAGTTAATAAGCATGTTGAGATATGATCTCATGAATGGAATGCTACTACTTAGATGCGAGAACCAGTGACCATATGCTCATACCAAGTTCAATCTCCACAAATTGAAACACATAACACTCAAGATAGAAGTCAAGGGTTGTAACGGGGCTTGGGGTATTGGCTAACAAAGAAAGGATAAGGAAAACAAACGTTCTTAAAGTGATAGTAAGCAAAGTAATGAAATTGAGACTTAGAATTTACTTAGATTGCAGAAATTAGCTTTAAAACACAAGGGGAAGATTTAAACAACTCCTTAGGGTCGAATTCATTGTTTTGGACCCCTTCTTCATCAAACAACACTTTAGAACTCTTTTTCACTTCTTTTCAACTCTTTTCGCATTCTTTTCACATTTTTCTTTTCTTTTGTTTTCTTTTTACCCGTGCCTATGGCACATAATTCCTTATGAAAAACACTTCCCCCACACTTGTTTTCTGCCACAAAGGAATTCAATTTGAATCATGCTTTACTACGCTTTAAGAACAAGGTTAATGGATGGTCCTAATCTAAGCTAGGTGAGGGTAATGTGGGTTACAAAGAAAAGGCTCACAAAGCTCAACGGGATTAAAACGTACAAAACATAATGACATAGGGGATTCACGGCTTTTTGGTTATGGTGGTGGTCACTACACAACTTTATCTTGAATATGTGTTATGCAAATCAATGACATGCTTTGAATGAAATGGGTATGAGTTCTAGCATTTGGAACTAAATGATGAAACGCCTTCTAAGTAGTAACCAAGCAAAGAATAATGAGATCATGCAACGACTTAGAAAACAATAAATCACAGATTATTAACTCTCCAAATAAACGTTTTAGGCTCAAGTCTCACAAGGTTGTAGCGTTAGTTTGAGTTCTTTCCTTCAAGCATGTTACAAAAACTGATTTTTCCTTTTAAGATTGCATGTAAATTCATAAGTTATAACCACAACCAAGCATAAA